CATTATATTCTTTACTTTATTGAATTATTAATTCAGAAACTCAATATTAATGTATATATTTGTGAGATACTATGTATATAACTAGCACATTCCTTTAAAACCTTAATAATTGTAATTATTTTGAAAAATTTTAATGATATGAATACGGTATTACTATATTTAGATTAGTATAATGAGTGATTTTAAAGATCTTATATTTGTTATGAAACAATTATCATAAAAATACAAAACTTTCTTTTATTTTATAATTGGATTATTTGCCTAAAAACATATAACATATTGTAATACCTTTAATAAATGAATACCACTGTATATGATTGAAATATTTTATGGATTTATATACACTTGTTAAATTATTATTTTATTTTTAAGTTTAGTAATATCTCAATAGATATTTAAATCACGTAAATATTATTAAAACAAACAATGAGATTAATTAAGATTTTATATAATATTATAATAATAAATTTCTAAATATTAACGTTTTAGTATAGTATGTTAATTAGTATATTTTATTTTTAGATTAAAATGTATTATTAACAATAAAATACTGTTTATATAAGATTGTAATAAATATTAAGTGAATTTAAAAATTAAATAACTAATATAATCTGCTAATTTAATATAAATATGTAAAATATTATATTTACAAATATTAATAATTTCTTAATAACTAATATTTAAAAAGTATTAAAATTTCTAACACTATATCATGTTGAGTAAATTAAAATTAAGTTTTCAATTATAATATATAATAAATTGAAATCTTATAAATCTCAAATAATCAAAAAACTTGCTAAAAGTAAACACTTGAAATAAATCCTTTTAAATTACAGTATTATCAATTTTAATTAATAAACTTTTATAAGATACACTTTTATATTTAATATAAATATCACTTATAAAATATATTGTAGAATAAACCTAAAATTCTTATGTAACTAAAAAACATTTATTGAGTAGACTTTAACCAAAATTATTATATAAGTTATTAATAATTTTTATCAAATGTGTGTATAATTATCATTTTATGAGTTCAATATAAAATATATTAATTATTTGGCAAGTAATACTTGCTATATTTTTAAATAAATATAGCAGCCTATTTTATAAATTATTTTTCAATTTAATCCATTTAAATTTAAATTCTTAATAACATTTACACTTGATAAATGTAACATTACTTATTTACAGTTAAGGTATGTATGCAACAGTTATTTGATGTGAACTGATGTACTCAATTTTTATTGCACTCAAAGTACACAACTGTTCAGAATAGTGAGTCCGAAGTCAGCAAAAGTGATGTAAAGATTCACAATAACTAAATCCCTATAAATCCCGGTGCCATTGATTTGCTAATTAATTATCATTGATTTATACGCACCCAATATAATGGCGACGCTTATAAAACAAGATATATTTAGATATTTTATGGGGCTTATGGTGATTGTAGTAATATAACTTAATTATTTTGTTACTTACAGTAACTAAGTTTGCATATTAATAGAAATTAACTGATAGTTTAGTAAGAAATCCAAAACACAAAATATTGTTGGTTTTGATAAAAAAAAGTTTCGTATTGTAGCCATAAAAGTCAAAAGGGAGTGGAAATGTTATATAAATTATTAATAATGTTATTACAAATACAGTAATCATGTGCTTTGTCTGTGTTTTTCCGATTAATGATGACATCTAATTCAAAGTTAAACAATTTCCAGACTATAAGACGTTAATAACGTTAATAACAATGAAATTCAAAGAATATGCATTTCAAGAGAGTTTCACTTTAAGTGTAATGTTAAGACACATAATAAGAAAATTGTGGGCAAATTCCGGTGTTGTATATATTGTTGAAATTAATACATAACAGATTATATCACAATAATACCTGCACTTGTTTAGTATATCACAATAATGGTATAAAGTTTGTAATATCCAGGTACCCTTTGATTAGTCTCGAAATAGCATTTATATTAGCGCTAAATAAATCATTAACTCTAATTGTACTAAGTTGAGTATTTTTATTTCAAATAAGTTTTTGAATTTTATTTAATAATTTTTGAATTATACAGTGAACATGACATCAATTGTTAACAATAAAAACATAATAGACTATATAATATATCTGTTATTATATTGTACAGTAATTTCTATAATATAACAATACGATTAATTGATCTAAAATATGATTTTGGAAATCTTAACTATTTATAAAAACTCAACAAAGTTAATTTGAACATTTGTATTTACGATTCTTAACCATAAATATTACTAATTTAATTACGGGAAATATGTACAATAAAATTATCTCAAAATCTCATAATGTAATTTATTCATTGCTCAAATTAGTTGCATAATTTGTATAACACTTGGTATTGTCAACGCCTAATTCATTATCACTATGATTACCATTATTAGTATTATGATTAATGTCTTCAATGGTATGTTGTTTTGGTGCAGACATAGGTTTGCGCCAAAATAGTCTCTCAATGTTGGCGAACGGTATTTCAAACATCAAAAATGCGATATAACTGACGATGAATGTCAAGACTGTGTATTGAAAAAACATCATAATCTGCAAATAAAACGTATAACAGATATATTACTAAACAAATAGAAATATATATTAATTGAAAACATTAATAATTATAAAGAATTCTTAAGCCTTAATGTGTAGCGAATGCAGACAACAGTGTTTAGTATGGATTTAGTGAACGATTCTGTGTATGAGATACTCAAACATCGGACAAAAGGCAGATGTATTGATGTGTTTCTAATTAATTAACTCTAATATAAAATCACTTGACTTTTGGTAAATTGTTTAGTATATAATTTATAAATTATATTCTATACTCTAATTATTAGGGCAATTATAAAAAAATAAAATTCAAATTATAATGAAGTTTTGGATAAAATTTTAGTACTTAATAAATACGAGCGAATTGTAATGTACTAATGAGTATAAATGTACTTTTATAAGTTTATTTAAACTTAATTTATAAACTTATAGAATATATTTACTGTATAAATTAACTGTATAATTTTAATTGCTATCTTGAATGAGTTAAATAATATAGCTAAGTCTGATCTCCTGGATGAATAATAAGTAGATTATAGTTATAAGTTTGTTCAAATGGAAAACTTTTAATGGAATAAACCATGTTTTGATGAATCCATACATGAATGAAAATAAAAATCAAATAACATAACTTTCCACGATTTAAACAAACTATGATAAGATAATTATAGGGAGTAGTGTTTGTGATTGATTTTGTAACTATTTCTGTGATTTAATAATAAGTTAGGGGTAAAGTGTCACCGATTTATGAATTATTAATTTAATATGAAACAGTAGTCGACACGTGTGCTCATAAATTCATATAAAATAGGTGTATTCAATAACAATAAATTATTCATAAGTTATTTAATCTTTAGGTGTATTAATCAAATGTAAGACATTTAAGAGTATGTGTGGAATCCATAATAAATTTTTAATAAAACCTCAAATGATATAAATAATTAATTTAATTTTCAGATGACATATAAACTGTTAACCCAATGAGCTTTTGTAATGAATATGAAATTAATTGATTTAAAATTCATTTTATTTATATCGAAACCTTATGGCCACGTGTGTCGATTTAAATTTCAATTTAAATTTTAAATCAATTTATTTTTCACAAAATCTCAATAGGTTTTAACTTATATATTATTTATGAATACTCCCAAAACAAGTCCATTCATAATTTTCAAATCTTTAAAAAGCTTTTCATGTTATCTAGGATCTATGGGCATAGGTATGATTTAAAATCAATTATCTATTGTTTAATAAAATATTGATATAAAAGCTTAAATAACTTATTATAGTGAAAATGAAATTAGTGGAAGTGGACTTTTCAATACAGCCTACTCAAGTAGTTACACGTGTACTCACTATTCAATTCAATTTATTTGATTTTTTTGCATGTTAAAATCTTATAGATTAAGTTCAGCATAAGTTCAGCATTAGTAAATGTTTTAAATGTTTTCCCTGTAGATGATTTAATGTTAGATAAAGTAGTACATATTGATATTTTCTACAGAAACTGTATAATTTAATTTTAAAAATACATGTTTTATTTACAGAATATTTTGTTGAGTAAGAAAATTGACTAGATTCAATTCTTGAAAAGTTAAATTCAAATAAAGCTCTATCATTGCATGTATTGTGATTTGCCTTTTTAGGACTTACTTTCAAATGAACATGTCAACGGAATTTGGTGTTTATACTTTTATCTTTAGATATATTTTCTATCAATTAGTCTAACAATGTATCAATTTATTTATAAAAACATTACGGAATTATTGAAATTCTCAACTAAATTACAGAATTTCATGAGTATTCTACTGTATTTATATCAAGTAAGTTATCCAGTTACTTGAATCCAGTTAGTGCTAGCCAGAAAGGTTCACTTTTCCCATTCACAAGTAATGTTACATGTCTTGAGCCGTTTTTGGGTGTAATTTAGCTTGTAGTAAACTATATTTTTTATAAAAAGTGACATACTTTTATTAACCCATAATAGGCTTAAAACTTGTAACATTAATTGTGAAAGGGAGAATTAAACCTCTCGTTCAGAACTGAATTTACATTTTATAAATATATTATATAAAAGACCTAAAATAGTATTTGGTAATTAAGTACATTTTCATTAAATATAATGTGTATTATTAGAAAAAGTCAACATTAATGAATAAGTTTCCACTTTTACTATTTATACGCTTAACCAATTGCGACAATCATTTAAACAAGCATAAAATTTCCATAAAAATTATGTTTCATAGTCAATGATCTCAAGATATTTTAAAAATTATAATATTAACATATAAAATAAAACTGAATGACTACTTAAGTAAATAGACTTTACTGTAAAGGTATACTAGTATAATATATTCTTTTCAATAATAACTATCATTTAAAATAGTCATTGAATTTAAAATAAGATGTTAATAACGTAATACTATAGACATGTAATGCATACCAGAGTGATTTTGGATGAATAGAGTGGTTGTCGGGCGTCGTAAACGAATCGGGATATGAGTACTGAATGGTAGAGATAGGCCTGAAATGAGAGTCGACTCAATGGTATGAAGGCTTTCCACGACAAGGCGGTGTTGACGACAGATCCGTGTCCTGTGGCGCACGCGAACAGTACGTACGACCAGCTCAGCGCCCATAGGGTCCGGTGGGTCGACCCGTACAGCACGCTCGCCATGTTGTGGTAACTGTTGCCCAATAACCAGGGCCATGTCAGGAATGTTATGCTTAGATTCAGGCCAATGGATAGTATCCATAGCGTCATGTTTAAAGTCTACGGGTTTAGTAGTTAGTCATAATTAATGTTGAATGTTTAGTTTTAATGGCTAAATGTCCTTGCTTACGGGTTTGATCACAATAATCCCTTTGTATTTTTGGTAGAAGTATGCCATCAAAATGCCCACACAATAGGGTCCCACTCGACAGTACGCCTGTTTGTAGACCATGTTTATATAATCCAGATCACTGTACAGACAATATAAAGATGTTCTGCTTTAGTATATTTGTGTCCAAATTATTAGTTATTAATTTACTTACTAAACAGTCATTAGGACTGTAGGCGTCAGACCGTTTTGTACTGTTATAATACCAGTTATTATACAACTTAATAATATTATTCCCACATTTATAGCGATTCCTAAATATTGTTTTCTGTCGGTTTCCCAATTAAATTATATTCAATTAGATCATCAAATAATATAAACATTTTTTAAAATTTTAAACTAGATATTAAAATAGATGAAAACCTACTTTAAGTCATTACTTGCGAGGAATACAATGAGAATGGGAGAGATTATGAAAAGTTGCATGTCTACTGCCAAATACCACGTAAATGATAGGCACTGTTAATTAAAATTTATTTTAAAATACTGATTTGACAAAGTAGTAATTATTTAATAATGTTAATAATAAATTGGTTCTAGCACTTAATATTTTGCATTTTATAATTAACATGTTATTCATATGAATTGAAGTCTAACCTCAGAATTTTGTGTCAATTTATTGAGACCCACAATGTTATTAATATAGAGAATGTTTGTCCACCAGTTCTTATGACACGTTTGCTCGGAGCTTTCGACATACCGGTGCCATTGGGGCCCAGTAGCCATAACCTCTTGCAGAATGGAAAATGCAATGACCGCTAATAGAGATGGTGTGAGTCGTAAGTAGCGGTGAATGATATTAGTGATAGGATTGTAGTGTTTTATGGATGTCTTTCTCAGTTCAAGTATCGTTCCGTAAGCGCACAGAAACCCACTTAATAGGAAAAACGCCTCAACCCATAGGCCGGCGTTTGTCACGATTTGTAGCATAAAATTGTTTTGTCCCTCAAGTATTGATAGGAGGTTTGCTACATAANTTTATGGATGTCTTTCTCAGTTCACGTATCGTTCCGTAAGCGCACAGAAACCCACTTAATAGGAAAAACGCCTCAACCCATAGGCCGGCGTTTGTCACGATTTGTAGCATAAAATTGTTTTGTCCCTCAAGTATTGATAGGAGGTTTGCTACATAAAAGTAATCAAGTTTATTAGCCTGGCTATTTTCTATTTTCTAAATTTTATTTACCACTTGGTAGCTGTGCCTCAGTATAGATATGGTATATAATTATAAATAGTAGACTAATTAGTCGGAAGCCATGAAAGCAGCCGATGGTTTCCTTTTCATTACCGGTGCTCAACAGTCTTTCCGTATTTGTATACAAAGAGAATGATTGCAATGACTGAACCAGTTTTGGTGATATATCTGAGAGATTACGAAAATATTTGTCAACACTTAGTTCAACAAGTTTGTTTATTAATGTATTATTACTAGATTTGACGCAAATACTTGTGAGTTCAGTGAAAGTGCCAAAGAATATAAGCAATAATATTGTGATAAATCCAGAACTAGTAGAATATAACAAGATTTTATGAATTTTAAATATATAAAATAAATTACAAATAAATAAATAAATATAAATTTTCAAATTTTCAAATCAAATATAATGTTTACTAAGTTTGTAAATAACTCACAGAATTAGTGTGTGATACCATTGTATGGGATTGTCATTAGAATCGGTGCAATCACTGACTGACACATTGATTCCGGTATTCAACGAAACTATTCAATTGAAAATGTATTTTTAAAAATAATTTTTTCAAATGT